CTCATGTTATAGTTGTGTTTATGTGCTAACGTGCAAACGAATGGTATCTACCGAAAAACCGTATGTTGGTTTTTGCTAAATGTGTGGAAAGCTGCTCCACAATATGTGATTGGTATGACATGATTATTTTTGTAAGTACTTTCTCGTTGCGCTGTAAAATAGTTCAGCAGAGTTTCCGTCTGAATGCTGGTGCAACGTGAGCTGTGTGGCGTGGTGGGAAACTCACTCTTTATGCGCGGCGTGAAGGTGAAGGGCAAGGCGCATCAGGGGAATTATTTTCAAAAGTTCTTGATCTGTTGATCTGTTGCGGTTCATGATGTTTGGGTAATTTACGAACGTAAATACGAGCCCTTATATCACAGCATGTTTGATGATATAATTGTCTGCCATTCCGTATTCTTTTTAAAGTGCTGTCATGCTATGGATCATAGCGCCGCTAAAAAGTCTCAACGTGCAATATATCGCTATTAGGCGTTTCCGTTTGGCCCTACGTCTTCCATCATCTTCTCACGTGCTTAAATTTCTACCAGTTTGTCAACGGTAGCTTCTGCCAGCTGGTTTAACAGAGAAAAACCAGGTGTCAGGACTGTTTCTGTAGTTGCCTGTCCGCATAGTCGGTTTGAAGGGCGCGTCAACCGCACCCGTTCGTGCGTCTACGAGAGTAATGTCATTTATTTTTTTCAGTGTACCTATAGAGCAGACGCGTGTAAGCATTTGTGATGGGCAGTGCAGGAATATATATGCACTCGTGACACTTTGCCAATTGAATGGTGCGATACTCAGTGCCGATTCATTCAAAATGCTGCAGCTATTTTCCGCGCTGGTTGTACCTTACGCCATCTGCCCTTGTCCAAGGCGTTCGTTGCTCTGTTAGCAGCGCAGGTGCCGCGTACCGACCCCGAGACAATGTTATCCCGTCATCATAATTTCGTCTGGACATGTTTCCCTTCGCACCGACTGCTCCGGAGCGGAAAGGCGCCGTCCAGCCTCAGCGCGCTCCCAAAGCCGGCCGGCGCGCCCCTGCCTTCCCCGCGTCGTCAGCGGTGGCATGTTGTTTCGTGCGCCCCCACCGACTCCGCCGCAGACCCTGGGGAGGGGCGAGGCCGTGCATGGAGCCAGCCGGTCACCAACGGAACGAACCGCAGTGCCGCCGTCCGCCGGAATGTCGCCGCGGCCGCTGGCGGCTCAACGGCGCATTTCAGTCCCGTTGTCACGCCCGCTGTTCGCGGCATTTTTCGCCGCGGTGTGGTCGGGTGGACCGCAAACTGGTTCAGACTTATTTCGAGACGTGCCGGACGTAATCCGCTGGCGACGTCTCCGGGCGTGCTGTCCATGCGGTTTGCCTTATCGGCTCTCGCTGAGTGATTGCAGGGGATGACAGAGAGGCGTGAGTGATTTTCACCGTGTGTGGTCGGGAGTAAAAACAGCTGCTGGGGCGTCTGGCCCTTGCTAGTTGACCAGCCAATTAGCCGTGTTTTGGGAATCGCCTTGCAGCAGTGTTGATTTCACAGTGCGGCGCCCCTGGACCATTTCAGTAGCTGTGGTGCTTGTCATAACCTGTCGAAAGCTATGGCAAGTACCACAGCTTTCGTGCCCACATGGGTTTGCGCGGGGCGTAGTCGGAGTGCTCTGCATGGTCCGTTGATTTGGCGCCGTGTTCAACAGGTATGCACTTGGGTGGATGAGCATTTGCCAAGTTACCCACAAGAAACGCATATTTTAGCCCGCATGCTTGCTGTTGCGGAAAGAGCGGAGTGTAATTGTTTACGCTGCTATCGAAAAGACATGAAATACACATGGTATTGTGGAGTAGCAATGGAAATAAAAGACTGCATTTAGCAAACATCGCGAGATAATATCGCTTGAAACGTTCATATCAAAATATTTAGTTAGTCGTGGAACTTCATGAACTGCGGGGGCTCTTAGTGTCCTCCATCCAAGACACTTTTTATTAAGATATTGATAATTAAAAGCGGTAAGCCGTTTCCTTGAAAGAGTAATCTGAGTCAATCAAATGCGAAATACCAGGGCATATAGTTGGAACTTAACCGAATATTCAATAAAAAGCGTTTTCTTGCCACTGAAAGAAGCTCAATTCGAGACCAGCGAGCGTGGGTTTTATAGGAAGAGACCCAAATTGTCCTTGTTATTTCCTAATCCGCACATCAATGAAAGGGAAGAGCGAATTCTGTTTTCCTCCTTTGTCAGCTTTACACTAGAACGTTGAACGTTAAGATAAGTGAAAAATTTATGAATATGCGACCTGTGCCGAAACAACAGAAAGGAGACGTTAAATGTATCGCCGATAAAGTACTGATCGGAAGTCCGGGGCGGCACATATAGACGTGGGTCCGAGCGGAAGCCCATTTCCGTGCTCCTGTCCGTCTGCGGGCGGAGCACTCTTGTGCAACTCGTGGTGAATCGTACGATGACCTTTTACATTATATATTTACAGGTCTGCGCCTGTCGTGAGAAGTATCATAAGGCCGTCGGGATGAGCCGGCGGCGGAGCGGCGGCGCGTCCGCCGAGCCCGGCGGGAGGGTGGTGCTCGTCCTCACCGGCCCCCGCTGCTGCCCGCAGAGGCGCCGCTGGACCTGGCCAGCTCCAACCACTCGACGGACGCGCGTGACGAGCGCGTCACCGTCGAGCCCGTCAACCAATCAAAACCGCTCAACGTCTCCGTCGAGTTCGAGCAGCTGCATCAAAACCTGGCGCTGGCGCTGCCGGCGCCGCCGCAGGCGTACGAGGTGGCGCTGGCGGCCGCCGTGGCCGCCGCCACCTCCACCTCGTCCATGTTCCAGCACACGCACAGTCCCGGTAGGTGTGGCGCCCCGCGGGGGCGGGAGAGAGGGCTTGCCGTGGCCGCGTCAGGTGAGGACGACGCTGTGAAGTCGGAATGCATGGGTTCTGCTTGATGGTCACTGTCGTGTCGTCGTGATGCCAAGCGTGGGAAGCGTGCGAATGGTCGCGAACGTCTCGGAAGCGTGGATGCGTTAGTTCGTGTGGCTGGAGGTGCGGCGACTTCGTCCGCAGCAGGTTTGGAGGCCTCCTCGTCGGCCATCTCCAAGCATCCGCCCGCTGCGCTGTCATGTGAGGCGGCGGCTGGGCCGGCCGCGCCGTCGCCAGCCCGGCCGGCCTGCGAAAACTGGCGCCGGCGGTATGCGCTCGGTGGGAGCCCGGGCGCCGCTAAGCACCTTGTTAGCCGAGCCGGCCGGGCCGCCGCCAAAATCCGGCGCCGCTGAGAAAGCGGGCGGCTAGTGCGCGCGCGCACGCGAGGTCGGCCGCGCCGCCTCCGCGCTCGTCTCCGGTGCCGCGACGGCGCCGCTCCCACGGGCGGCGTTTTAGCCGACCGCAGACTCGCATCACTGGCTCGGCCGGCGCCGGCCTCGGCGCCACCGCTTATGTTTGTTTGCACTGTGGGAACCGAAGGGGGGGGGGGGGGTCTGCAGTCGCCCGTGTGTTGTGGCTCCCTGGGTACGTTGTATTTTGTTGCGTCTGTAACCAGCTGCTAGTTGTGGTCGCCGATAACGCATCGCGGCGGCGTTCGATCTTTTTGTCGGTTTTCGGTATTTGTCCGTCGCTCATGTTGTGTTGACATCCCACCTTTTGTCAGCTTCTCGTAGTTTGCCGATCCTTCAGTATGTGTTGACACCTCACCTTGTTCGGCCCCGCTGTTGTGCTTTCTGTCCTGACTAACCGGTCGGCCGCGCCGCCGCGGGCTGTGCCTCCCCGCATTTGTGACGCCCCCGCTCGAGGGCCCGTGCCGGCCGGCGCGTCCGCGCTCTCCGTGTCGCCGCCCGACGCGCTGCCGTCCCGCAGCGACCTCGCCGGCGCCGCCGGAGCCACCGCGCTCTCCGTATCTCCGCGCCAACGCCCGGCGCGCCAATCGATCCGCGGATTCATGTGGACGGCGCGACGCGCCGCGCCGCGGCCGCCGCATAATGCCGGCCGATGACCTTCGGCGGCGGCGCGACCGTTGCAGGCGGTGGCAGCCGTGCGCCGTCAGCAGCTGGGCCCCCCGGCCGCGTGGCTGTGGCTGGCGCGCGTCGGCTGCGCGGCCGCCCTCCGCCGGCTGGCTCGGCTCGGGCAGGGAGTCCCCGGAGGGCTGGCCGCACCGGGGAGGTGGGGTTGCCGGGCGGCCTCTGCGTCTGGTGGGAGATCCTGGTGACCGCGGCCCGGATCGCTGGGCCGTGTTCATGCGTTTTTTTTTTTCGCGTCGGCAGAACGAGTGCTTGGAGAAGATTGTCTGCCGCATCCTCTGTCGTTTTTGTCGCAGTGCTGGCATGTGAAAAGGTGTCGACCACGCAAGGTCGGCATGAAGCTCAGGCTGAAATCAACTTTGGTAATATCACGCGTGGACGCGTGGACGAGGTTATGTCGAAGATGTCACTACGCGCGCAGAGGAGCTGCGGTCTTGTTAGGTGCCGGAGGCCACATCCGCCAACCCGGCTAACGTCCTCGCATGTCCTCGTCGTCCTCGTAACGTCCTCGCCTCGCGTGACACGCGTGGTGCCGTTTTGGGGCTGTGTTTGGCGTCCGCTTTCTGGCCGGACCGCCGCGCGTTTTCTCCAGATTCGGCGGCATTCGCCCTTGAGCTATGAGCGGCGGCCGGTGGTGTGGCATGGTGCACTGTCGGGCGACCGGGGGCCCGCAGCGGGAGCAGGGATCGCGATGCATTATGCAGGCCAGGTGCAGTGCGCCGCGGCGGACCGCTGCACAGATCTGCCTCCCGACGCATCACTTACGGCCTCCTGTCCGGGGTGGGACCTCCAAGCCAGAGGCGATTCAGGGCTCGTCTCCAGGCCACAGGCGGCTCAGCGGCCGCCCGCTTAGCTGGTGGTGTTCAGTAATGAGGTTAGAATCCATCTATTTCTCCTGCTGCCAGGCGTCCTCACGGACCGTGTGGCAATTACCGGCCCGGTGCCCTGAGAGAGCTGATGAGCACGATTTGTTTCCACTGCGCCAGTTGGTCTGATGAAACGGCGGGTCTCTCGGCGGTCTGTATCTCGCGCCACCAGATGCTCCTTTACTAGGGCCGCGTAAGTTGGCGCGGGTTGTCGCGCTCAGCTGCGTCCAAAAGCGTAACGGACTGTGACTGAAAGTTAGCCGGACGGGATGGCGTTTGAGGCAGAAAATGGACTGTTTGCAATTGCATTCACTTTGATATTTTCGCTGGTTCGTTTTACTTGGAATTGTCGACTAAATCTGGAAAACAAACGGGCTTGAACTGAAAGCCTTCGCAGTTGAGGTCTGTTGCAATGTTAATGTTCTACTTCATGCGTAGACATCCGGCCAGTTCTGGCCGACTTGAACTTACAATTTCAAACCGCGGCGTGTTTGGTATTGAGCGGGGTCGTTTCTTTGAAAGCACCCCCAGGCGTGATGAATCTTCAGCCAGGCTTACACATGCAGTTTAGCGTTTGGGCTGTCGATCTGCCCTCGATCGCCGTTTCTGCTCCCTCCTCGACATGGCCAGTGGGCGTCTGGAGGAGAGCAGGAGTGCTCTGACCTCTCCCGCTGCAGTGCCGGCGTCGCTGACCGGCCGCGCTCCGTGGCGGGTGCCCCTGACGAACGCTCTCGTTACGAGACGAGGGTCTCTGTGCTCCGGCGCTGGCTGGGCGTTCCTCAGCGGCGGCCGGTCTGCCACAGCCTTCGCGGCTGCGGCCGCGCCACTGCGGTGAGGTGAGCGTCTGTGTGAGCGGTGGAGATGAGCGCCAGTGCGAGCGGTGAGGTGAGCGCCTCTCACCCGCCGCCCCGCCATCAGCCGCTGTCTCCCTGTTGCAGTGTCGGCCGTCCTCCGACAGCGACCGCAAGCTCTGGAGCGAGGAGAAACATGGAGCTGGCGCTGGACGCGCTGCGCACGGCGCGCATGTCCCTCTCCAAGGCGTCGTCCGTGTACGGCATCCCGTCGACCACGCTGTGGCAGCGGGCGCACAAGGCCGGCATCGGCACGCCCAAGAAGGAGGGCTCCAACAAGAACTGGACCGAGGAGGACCTGCAGCTGGCGCTCAACGACCTCAGGTCAGCGCGCGCTCCGCCGCTCTCGTGCGCCCTCCCCCTCCCGTTCCCCGCGGTTTGGTGCGACGGCGGGGGCGTCGGGGGCGGTGGTTCTTTGTTGTTAGCGCTGTCGTCTGGAGTCGAGGCATGCAGTGGATGTGGTAGTGAGGCGTGCAGAAGGGCCCGGCCTGAGCTGGTGGCGGCCCTTGGGGAGTTGACTCCATTAGCCGGATCAGTGAGGAGGTTACCCAAAGCTCAAAATATTAATAAAGCAAGTCAAGGGAGATTTCTGCAAAACTGCTTTGATTTATGTTATGTTGGTGCATGTAACGCTGCGCGTTGTTTGTGGTATGAAATATCATGGAAACAATGTAAAACAAAACGGCGTCTATTTCAGGAATGTTTGTGCAGGCGCTGCGTTACGCGCGGTTTCTGGGAACTGTCGCGAAATCTGTCAAGCGAGTCATGCAACTGTAGGATTTTTGTGCCATATCACAGCGCCGCTACCACAGAGCAGCCAGTTTTTTTCCATTAACCTGACAAAACCTGCCAACGTCCTCGTACGGGTATTGGTAAAAAAACCCTCAAGCTTATGGCTTTTGTGCTGAAAATAACCGGCCATCAATGTGCCATGGAGTGCCGGCATTTTCGACGATTTCGCCCGGACTTTTGAATGGGTGGATTTCGAGGATCGGTTTGCACGCTGAGCAGCGGCGTTGCGTGAGCCCCGGCCCCAACATCCGATCGCGAAATTCCGGGTCGACGGAATTTTCTGGAGAAAGCGTAACGTGCCGCAATGCTCGGCATGGTCCGACCCGCGCTCTGACGCCACCCGACCTTTACCGCGGCCGTCGCCACTGACTGTAAGCCATCTCAGTCAGACAAGTATTTGTATAGTTTGATATTGTTAATACAGCATCCGAGTATTATCCTGGTACATTTAAGGTGCCAGGAGTCGGGCATTATCATAGTATATCCCAGGAATTGCCTGATGCCGCCCAGTATATTACAGGGCGCCATTTTCAGCTTAAGAATTCATAATACGGCGTCATTGCCTAATTTTGACGCTCCCAGGATGCATCGCTGCCCTCGTTTCCGTGCCGCTTGTCGGGTGCGGCTGAAGTGCTAGAAAAGTGGACGCACTCAGAACGGAAGCCCACGTGGCTGCGACACTATACCCACTCCCAGCAGAGCAAAGCGCGGTGTTCCAGCGGGCGCGAATTCCCAATATCCCGTTCGGCATCCACCGCGGCCTCCTCCACGAAGAGCAGCGTCGGACGCCGTCCAGCTGGCGTCGGCCCCGCCATGTTTGTCGCGTGGCCTGCCTCCGTTTTTCCGCCTGTGTGGACGTCGCTTGACGTCACGCCGCCGCGCTCCCGACCGCTGCATGGCGGCCCATTTGCGGCGCTGTGCTGGCGCGCGGCCCCGCCGGGTGCGCGCCGCCGCGCCGGCCGGACCGCCTCCCGGGGCGGGCCGGCCGCCGCCGCCAGTGCGGCGAAAGGCCGCGTGGCGGTGAGCGGCTTACTGGGGCTTAGCCGCGGCCGGGGAATGGCGGCCTGGTCCTGTCCTGCGTCCGTGCGTGGTGTTCGCGTCGGCCTTCTGGCCGGCGACAGCGGGGGAGGGAAGGCGCGGTAGTGGAAATGGCGCGGTGGCCGGACATCGCGCTGGGAACTTCGGCGGGCTCAGATGCCGCCCTGTCCGTTGACATTAGTGGGCCGGGCGTTGTGGTTAGGACAGTGCGTGTGCGAGCCACTTCACTGGCCAATGTCGGAGGCTTAACGACGCATTTAACTATTCAGGTGGCTTAGTGCCACAGTCTCATCATGCCGGTCACAGCTGGGGGCAGTGGAGTTGCCAGTCTGCGCCTCACATGCGTGCGGCGTACCAGCACCAGCATGGCGGACCGTACTGCGCGCCCGGGCATGCCGGCGGGAGGTGGCGCCCGCGAGGCTGGCGCCGGTCGCTGCGATTAACTTCGGGGGCCCGGCTGGCGGCCGGCGGGCACCAGGCTCGGTGCCGGGTCACCGGGTCTAGTGCGCTTCCCCGCCGCGGGAACGATGCTAGGCGACTTGTGGGCGGTGACCGCGCCGCCTGGCGGGGCGGCTGCGGCCAGCGTCCCGCGCCAGGCGGCGCTAGTGACGGACCCCGTCGGCCGTCGGCTGCTCGGCTGCTGCTGACGCGGAGACGGTCCCCGACACGGCTGCTCGGTGCTGCTGATGGGAAGAAGGTCCCCAACGCGGCTGTCCGGCTGCTGCTGATGGGGAGACGATCCCCAACACTGCTGCTCGCCTGCTGCTGACGTGGAGACGGTCCCCGACACGGCTGCTCGGCTGCTGCTGACGGGGAGACGGCCCCCGACACGGCTGCTGGTCGGTGCTGACGGGAAGACGGCCCTGACACGGCTGCTGGGCTGCTGCTGACGGAGAGACGGTCGCCGACACGGTCGGCGATCGGCGTCAGCGGCTCTTATTGGCTCAATGCTGTCCATAACCTGTCCGACCACAAAAACAGGCCAGGGCGATCGCCGTTGTAGGCGCCTTGATATGAGGCGGAGGCTCATTTTAGCCGCGGGCATATCAGTTTGCTCAATATACCAGGGGAGTGTTAGTTAAACGACGATACCAAATTATCGTAGCAGATATCGTAGCAGCGTTGGACGTTTCGAGGCGGAGCCGACGGTCACGAGCGGCTCCGGAACGCCGGTGAGCCGAGGCGGCCTGGTTTATGGAAAATGTTTATTTTTAGCATGAGCACTGATAACGATGAAAAACGAGAAGCCCAATGCCTTAAACCAAACAAAATGGGTCTAGTAATATAAAAGACCGACAGGCCCCCATTCAGCTCCTGGTTTGTCGGTATTATGAGTGCAATATAGTAGATTTAACTGCCTTCAATATCCAGGAGATGCTGGTTTGAGGACTTTGTAGTATTAAAATCGGCTATATTTAGGGTACTTAATATTTCGAGTTGTGCTCATCGTCCGGAGAATATATATTGATGATGAGAACTCTTGAGGATAGGCGCAGCTCGAAATATTGAGTACCGTTAATAAAGTCGTCATTTAACACTACAACGTTGTCTGCCCGGCATCTCCTGGTATATCGAAGTTCGTTTACTCTATACAATAGTTTTTAAATCATAATTTCAATTTGTTTCGTCGTTCTTGTCATCCTGATGTATGAAGGCACAAAGATGTGCAGTAGCACGAAGATTTCGTAGAATTCGACATCAACAGTCTGATGTTTTATCTTCCATCAGTAACTAGGATAAGATGAGATGGAACTTGGATACAATCTATGAGCACCCAGTGCCTGACTCGCTGCGAGCATTTGAGCGTGCTGAACGTAATGCAGTGACAGTCTCCTTGCGGTGCTACTTTCCAGTGGGTAGTCTGGTGTGTACACTGCCGCAAAGAGGGCGCTGTTAGTTTCATGTTCGCCGGAAGCAAATATTGTGTGGCGTGATAAGGCTATTTGTTCATGTGAAAAGAAGGGGGGAAATAAAGTTAAGCTTTTGTATTTTGTATTGTTTCTTGTAATGCTTCAGAGTGTAGTGTTTGTGCACAGACGTGGTGGCCCGTTGGGGCATTGGATGTATCATCGACGTTCACCGTGCGCAGCAATGCGAGAGACGTGTGTTTATTCCATCATGTGGGGCGTGCGCTGGGCGCTGAAGATCAGATGGTACGCAGCCTGTCCGCATCACCGCTCTGTCTGCCGCAGGGCCGGCCGCATCTCCGCCAACAAGGCCTCCAAGGAGTACGGCATCCCCAACTCGACGCTGTACAAGATCGCCAAGAAGGAGGGCATCAAGCTGTCGGCCCCCTTCAGCAACGCGCAGACGTCGTGGACGCCGGCCGACCTGGAGAAGGCGCTGGACGCCATCCGCGGGGGCATGTCCGTTATGAAGGCCGGCACCGAGTACGGCATCCCGTCCGGCACGCTGTACGGACGCTGCCGGCGCGCCGGCATCGAGCGCAAGACGGTGGGCCAGCCGTGGAGCGAGGACGACATGCACGACGCGCTGGAGACTGTGCAGCGCGGCGAGATGAGCATCAACCAGGCGTCCATGTACTACAACCTGCCGTACTCGTCGCTGTACGGCCGGATCAAGCGCGGCGCGCTGGAGACGGAGGAGGAGGAGCCGCCGCCGACGCAGGTGCCGCCGGCCAGCGCCGCCGCCTCGCTCGGCTACTAGCGGCCGCGGCGGGCGGCGGCGGCCCGGCACGCGCCCCACTCACACACCACCACGCACACGCACACACGGGGGCGGGGCAGCAGCTCGGCAGCGGGACGCAGACTCGCCGCACAGAGGGAGCGAGAGGGAGGGGGAGAGCGCAGCTTCACAGTGGCGGACGCGGCAGCTCCGGGGACGTCCGTACACCGGCCGCCGTGAGCGGCGCGGCGCTTTCACTGCTCTGTCCACACGAGTGTAACGCCAGCGCGCGGACGCCTTTTTACCTTGGCCGTTGTCGCATGTGGGCGTGGCCGTGACGCTGACACGCTAAAGCATGTGCGGCGGGCGGGGGCAGCATGGCTGGCGCTCGGTGGTCCAGGGAAGGGGCGCGGCCGCTCCCCGCGGGTCGGCTGCACCCCACGGGTCGGCCGCTTTGTACGTAGCGGGGTAGGGCGAGGGCGCGGCGGGGATCTGATGCCCGCGCGTGCCGAGTGATAATCAAGACAAAGTCTTGGGACTCCCGTGTGAAACACGCCAGGAGGTCCGGGGGCGCCGAGGACGCGGAGGGAGGGAGCTGGGGCTGTTGCCGTGGCTGGGTAACGTTTGCACACTAACACAACGGCACGGGGTAGGACAAACAAGCACACGCAAGCACACACACACGCACGCACAAGCTCAGACACTGACGCCGACACACTCCGAGGCACAGGCAGACACTGACTCACACGGCTCGCGCCCGCGCGGCGCGCGCCGTCCCGTCGCGCAACGAAGAGACGCCGCCTGGGCGCCCGCGTGCTTAGTCAAACGGTACAAAGGCGTGAGAATGTGTACACTCGACGCGCCCGGAGGCACCGGGGCGCGCAACACTGGAAACGTTACGGGATATACATAGTCACTTACCCTGAGGTTCGGGAGGCGGCGGCGTGCGGCTCTGTTCCGCCGCGCGCCGCTCGCGCGTTGTTTTCACTTGGTTTTAGCTGTGGCGCGCCGTCGACCGGTAGCGTGTCGCGGCCGCCCGTCGTTTTAGTTGAGAGTCGGGTAGTTTTACGTTTAGCAGCGGTCCGGTCACCAGCGGGCAGCACCGTGGATGTGTAGAAGCTAGCCGCCGTCGCTGGGTAGAGGTTAGTCCGCTTTTGTTGTTGCTTTCGCTATTAACTGTTGGCGTTGAGTGGGCGGCCGCGGCCGCCGGGGGGCCGGCGCGTGCCCTGCAATGTGCTTCTCCGTGGCCGGTGTCGTAGGCGGTCTCCGAAGCTTTACTACTGCCTGAGCGAGCGAGCGAGCGAGCGCGCGCGCGCGCGCGGCCCGGCGCGCCCCACTCAACGGCGCGCCGGCCGCACACGCGTGCATACATAGACGTAGACTAGCGGCACTAGATGTGAATGGGTGTTGGGTGTGCGAGGCTGGTGCCGCCGCCGCCGCCCGCGGCGTCGCGAAGGGAGGAGAGCGGGCGGCGGCGGCCCGCCAGCCGGCCGAGCGCTCTGTCCAAGGTTGTGCTGTTGTTCCGTCGGGGTTCCGCGCGTGCGAGGCGCCGCACCGCACGCGCAGCTGCATGCCGGCACGCACACTGAAGCACGTGCACGGGGAAGCATCCGTCTAAGTCATACGGGTGGGCGGCCTCGTGGGTTTTCTACAGGAGGCCGCGCCGGGGCTGGGCGGGGAGGAGCCGGTGTTGCTCGCTAAATGAATACCTCTGTGTTGACCCGATAGGAATATTTTGCTATAATCAAAGTGGATGCTTATTTTGCTATGATATTCCATTGACTACCGATGATTTGAACGTGTTAGTCCATGTGACGAATGTAATGCATGGGTCGTCGGCGCGCGCGCGCGGTCGCTGTTTCATGTCTTGGGCGCGGCGCGGCGCTGCCTGTCCGCCGCCGCGGCGCCGCCCGCCGCCCGCTGTGACTGTGCTAATACCTGTTGCTTCTCCGACGACGGGCTGTGTGCGGGCGCACCGCCGCCCGCTCTTCGAGTGCCGTCCTGCCGGCCGGCGGCGCCGCCGGCCCAGACCGCGCGGCGTCCAAAACAAGCACGAATCAAAGTGGGGGGCGTGCCCCGTGCGCGGCTAGGTAGAGGGAGCGGCCCGGCCGTCCAGCGGCGCCGCCGCCTCGTCAGTCACCAGCTAGCGCACGGCCGGCCGGGCGGCGCGGTGCCGGCCGGCCGGCGCAGGCGCGCCGTCGACGTCCGCGCTTCTCGCTTCGGTGCTGGCTGGACAGGTGCGGGCTGCAGCGCCGGGCGCGTCCACCGGCCGCGCGCCGGTCGCGGCCCGAGCGTGCGGAGAGGCCAGAGTCGGGAGCAGCGTGTGCGTGATTACAAAAGTCCAGTACAAATATAGGCCTCTATTTTCTCCGTCACCGCTCCTCGTGGTCCGGCCGCGTCTCGCGGGCGGTGCCACTTTCATTTCCCGGTCGGCCCTTATCTCAGCTGGTGCGTTCAGTGACAGGTCATGGTTCGCTTCGGACTCTTGTTGTTTCACGGGTTACTCCTGGACTCCGTTCGTTGTTTGGTGATCGCATTCTGGAGCGGCAGCTGCCGCCGCCCGCGTTGTCCGTGTCCGGTGGTGGCGCGTTTTCCGTTGCGCGTCCTACCGCTCCACTAGATCCGCACCACGCCGCGCGAACTGCCACTGCCTGGCGTCGCTTTACGGGTTATTTGTTACGCTGCGCTGGCCGTACAGTGCTGGCACCTCTGTTTCGCGTGTACGCCCCCCCCCCCCCCCCTCCCCCTCCCTTTCCACTCCGCGCCACCGTTACCTCGCACCGTGGTCGGATGAAATTCTCGGCCGGATGGTTCCAGTTCCGGCGTCGCCGCCACCACCGGCGCGGCGCGAGCCGGCCAGCGGCGCGCGCTCCGTTCCGTTCGCGCGCTATTTGTTAACGTTGCGTTGGGAGGGCTGCGGTGTGCGAGACGTGTATGAGATGCCACTGGGCGGACAAGGCCGGTCAGCCGCGCACCGAAGACACGCCGGCGCCGGGCGGTGCCGGCCGCAGCCAGCAGTCACTGTCCAGTGCAATAAATAGGGACGCGAGAGGGCACCGGGCGTTGCTGTAAACGTGTATGTAACTCAGTGTTGCTACAAATTTCCACGCACTTTGTATGTCTTGGTTATGTTTGCAATAAAGGCAAAAACGCTAATCAAATATACGGCTGTTTGTGATAATGCGGATGTTTGTGCAGTCTCGGCGAAGGAGTGAGGCGCTCGAGGGGCGGGCCGGAGGTGGTCCGCTGTCGCGGGCATCTGGCGGTGGCCCGGATGGTGTCAGGCTCGTGACACTAACGTCGTCACCTGCGGCGTCAGTATTGTTGGATATTAAACAAAGTTAACAAACTTCGTTGGACGCACGACTCCACTTAAGACCGGCCCTCCGCAGTGCACTCCTGATTGGCTGTCATTGGAGGCGCAACCGACATGGGATTCAGCAGTCTTCGTTGAGCATGGTGGGCTCGATTCATTTGCGGTTTTTGGGAGTTGAGATTTGGAGTCGAGTTAAACAGATGTCAGCAGCAGGATGCGATAGTAGGGCCATCTAGCCAGCATAGCTGTAGTCTCACGCCTTACTTTTGCACCGTGTGGGATGCAGTCTCACTGTTAAGCTTAAGTTATGAAAGAGAATGTGCCACCTTTTTTGTCATTTTTATTCACAGTAAGTTTGACGCATCCAATGCTAGCGACCATACCAGCTCTCGAAATCCTGAATAGCTCGAAATTTCCCTTGGAGTGGTCGCTCCAGTGGGGAAACTCCATTGGACGACTCCCTGCCCGCTACTATGAAAGCGACACCTTCCATTTGTTTGATTTTTCTAACGTGTGTGTTTTGCAATGTTCTCGGTGCGCCATTGTGCCAAAATGTTTCCGTAATGAATGGTTCAGGAGCTTGACGTGCGCCCGGGTGGCCAGTTGGATACGATGCGCTTGGATGAGGGTTGACTTGGCCCCTGATATCTCAAAAATTAAGAGCTCACAGACACCGAAATTCACAGGCTGGGTAGACTATGCAAACTCACTCGTGTCAAACGTTAGGATTCCTAGGTCATGGCCTGCGGGTCAAATAAGGTCAAATTCCAGCTTGTGGCCAAACTGTTCCCACGCTTTCCCATGCAGCCGCCCTGGACCTAGACACCTGTTCTAAGCAAAGGTTGCTGGCGCTTATTTCAGGTAAGTGACCTTTTTACCTTACGGTCATGGTGGCAAAAAACTGACGAGATCATTTGGATTTGTAAGTTTTAACGGCCATCAAGGGACACGCTGGGTGGCATGTTCATAAATCCGACAGGTCAGTTCGGGTCAATTTAGGTCGGTGACCTTTTACCTTAAAAAACACCAAAGATGATCTTTGGTGCCGTCTCTGTTACCTCGGAATTCGAAATGAGCGTAAAAACTCCCATGTCGAAAGCCGTCCAGTAAAAAGCAGATTGGTTTTCACCTCGGTCTGACCTGCAGACATAACCTGAGGTCAATTTGAGTTGTCTGAATTCTAAATTAAACTGCCTGATGTCTAAAAAACATCCCAGATATGTACGACTTCGTGTTGCACTCCGTTGTCGCAACAGATTGAATGATTCCCTTGGAATTACCTTTGCTGACAGCTATGGCCTGACCGACATGCCACAGGCATGTGGCCTTACAAGGTATATCTGATTTTTTATGCATAAAGAACCGCTACTCAATTGCCCTCAACTATGCAAAGTTTGGCGCGACCTCACCTCGTCGTTCGGAAATCAATGTGAGGGGATCAATTTGACCTCCACCTCATCCGGGAGCGCATTGAAGCACTTCTGGGAAAACGACGTGGGGTCAAAAACAAAAATGTTAAAAACGTATGAGCCATTGTCACGTAAATTAAATGAAATGCCGCTCAAATGCTTTCAGTTCGCCACAACAGCGTTTACCACGATGACCTCGAATGGTACCTTGTGTTTGGGAAATGTTTTTTACTTGTATGCTAAGTTCGGTGCGGGGCTGCGCTTACAAAGCAGGTCTATTACCGCGAAATATAACTTGCCTAGTGATGCAAAGGCTCAAACATTCACCAATCACCTGTCGCGACATGCTTACACCGCCCGCTGTGCCAACCACAAACGTTCATTTCTATCGCATGATTCCGATCCAGCCCAAAGGCAAATGTAAAATAAACTTATAATACCTCCAGCATGGTGGTTTGAAAGTGCCGCGCAATGTAACTGAACACAGTTGGCTCCATTTTGTCCCGAAATCGTCCTATCGTCAGCACACCGGCTCTACCGCAGCTGCGGCTGTTTTATCGTACCAGGTAGCTCCCTGGCTCCTTCGCAATCTTCCTCTCCATCTTCTGGCAGGCCTGCATTCATGAATGCCCTCTCAGGGATCCTGTCAAACAAAATGGTGCCACCGGCAGGGCACGATATTTCGAAACCGATCGATAGCCCTCGTCAGTGCCACCAAACACTCACAGTCCCACTGTCCCACTGTCCCACTGTCCCACTCTGTCCCACTCTTTCCCACTCTGTCCCATTCTCCGTGCGCGGTGGGATTTTTTCAGCAGTGTGTTTTCATCTAGATAAGCGTAGGCGTGCCGCCTGCATTCAGGAATATACCGTTGTAAGGGGATACCAAAAATATGTTGCGCCGTCACGTGATCTTTTTTTGCTCTTTTGATCGCTCGGGCGCAATGGATTTAAACGCACATGGCTCCACCCTCGGCGCACGATTACAAATATGTTTTGAAAGTTGGCCTATGCTCTTCCAAAAAGCCCCGGCCGTCCAACCTGCATAAGTGATGCCACTGGAGGGTATGATAAGGGTGCAATGTAAACCACTAAGAGACATAATTTAGAAATAAAAACAGCCGCCGCCGGCCGATCTTGATGTTTTGGTGCCGTTCATCGGCCCAGTGTGAGTGTTTCAAACACAGATGGCCCCACCATCTACGGGCGATTATGAATATGTTTACATTGCTTCCCCAACTTCGTCTCAACGCGGTGAGCGGTCGTCAGCGTTCAGAAATACGCAGTCAAATGTTGTTTTTTATCAATAAGGCACCGAAGCCCGATCTCGATGCTTCTGTGCCGTTTGACACCCAAGAGTCAGTGCCTTCCAACGAGCGTACGTCTGCCCTTGTTCCCACTAGAGACGCTACTTTGTTCCTGCCAATCCGCCAATTTTTTGACCCTCAGGAATCCGCGAGCTTTTGGCGGGGTTGTGGCCAGACTTGGCGGGCTTCTGAGGGTGAGAAATTTTAACATGTAAAATCATGTATTGTTTGATACTCATATCACTTTTGTTCGCCATATCTTGGCCACGG